AGGACTCGTGGAATAATTTGTTAACACTTTGAAGAAACATGGCGATTGCTTTAAATATATATTCATTAATCGTTCCCCTAGGCTAAGTACGGAAAAGCTAAAATCTGACATTTTCAATGATCTTTAAATCCGCAAACGTATTAAGGACCCTAATTTTACAAATCACATGACGACTGTGAAAGCTGTTGCTTGGTGAAGCTTTGTTTCGATCACTAAGAACTTTTTGAATAACCTCAAAACGGGCAATTATGAGGAACTAGTGCAACAAATGTTAATAAACATTAAACACTTGGGTTCTAATATGAACATTGCAGTACACTTCCTTCATAGTTACTTCGATAAATTTTTTGTCAATTTTGGGGACTTCAATGATGAACAAGGAGAAAGATTCCACTAGGATATGAAGGTGGTGGAAGAAAGATATCAGAACAGATGGGATATATCATTATTAGCGTTTATATTTTTCGAAAGCATTGCCATTTATAGTAAAACTTTTTTGTGGGCACCACTGTTCTATTAATTTTAAATTCTTTCTTTGTTTTATAATAATTAGGTAATTATCTCCAAAAATTGAACCCATCCAGCAAGTCGGACTTTATTTTCGTAATCAGCACTACAAAGTTACCTAGAAATTCCTTAAGTATTGCTGGCAACAAAGAACATCCCCATATATATACACATTAACGGAAACCTGATAATGAATGTGAATGCACAAAAATTCTATTAGATAGATCCCTAATATATTAATTTTTACTATGTCCTTGTAGCTATTTGAAGATAGATAGATAGATAGATAGATAGATAGATAGATAGATATTAAACAAACTGTTTGCGTATTTCTCAACATTTTACTCTAATTAATAGAAAAGGTTACATGAACAAAAAGGCACTTACAATTATTAATTTGCATACAAATGTGGAAACCCTTAGGCTACAGGTGGGAGTTAAACTACTCGTACGTTACATTAACTATGTCTATGATACTTATTTGTTAGCACCAACTACAAATTAAAAAGTGTACACTTTAGCTGCAAACATTAATGAAGCAACGAGAGATGCGTACGTATCATATCCACTAACAAAAGAGAAAAATAATTTTAAAAAAACTAACAACGCGAATAGAATTTGAAAGAGACAATCTAGTTCATACAGCTAACTGGCTAGAGGAAATGGAGACCTAATATACGTTGGTGGAAATTGAAAAGATTTTTGTTTTTTTAGTAGTGTAGGCAGTACCACAAAATGAGCTTTTCGGTGTTTTTGAGTTTTCTTTGTATATATATATGTATAGATTTCATGTACTTTTCATTGATACTACTCGTGTCAACAATATACAGAGAAGACAAAATGTTTACCAAACGAAGGAATTACGTATTTCTTTGTTAATAGGCTAGACAATAATTTTCAGTCTCTCAGTCTTTAAGCGTCTTTCACAGTCTTTCAGTTATTGCCTAGGTGTTTTTATGTATCTCTCACAGTTTCTGTATGAGAGACTCGAACGATAAAATTGTTAATTCAGAGATTCAAGTCTCTCGTTCAGAGATTGGATATGAAATGAGGATCTCTCTATAAGCGACTCAAGGTTCTCGTTCAGAGACGCTAAACAGTTTTTTTCAGCGACACCAGAGAGGCGGAGACTTTAGTCTCGCTTTCAGAGATTCTGAGTGACTGAACATTTTTATCTAGGGTATTTCTTTCTTTTATGTCGGAATATCCGAAAATAACACCTGCTTCTTTAAAAACTGTCCTAAACCAACCGAACTCTCAAAATTAATTAATAAATAAATAGACGGTTTGATTAGTGATTTGTTGAGGTCCTCTATGGCGTGCTGATGAGAGCAAATAACTACGATCGACGTCTATATTTGAGGTACGTACCAAATGCTTGAGGTAATTATTGGTGAAAATTATAAAGCATAAGCTACGACTAAGTTTGCTAAAAACATTATCAGAGGACAATATAATTTTTAGGGTTTTGGACATCATACTTTTAAACTCCAATAATCGGATAACTACGGAAATGGATAATCAAAATCCTGGACAGTAGATCGCAAGATTTTTCGTAACGTATCATTTACACTTTATTCGATTGTATAAATGAGCATGCCCATACCTGTGCACACGCGGGAAAAACACTGATTCCATTTATGCGGTTCAGTTTTCCTCTCTCTCTACCTACGAGACTTTGCCTATAAGCTACGAAGTTGATTGTATTCTCGTTAGCACCGTGTAATTTGCTTGCAATCAATTTTTCGCCACTCGCATTAATTATTATGGTTTCCTAAGCCACTTGACTTGAGTAATAATAATCGCTGTCGTATACCTACGGAAAACGCCAATTGCCATTACGTGCATACCCACACAACGAACCCATATCAATAGCCACCAGGAATCATTAGATTAATACGAGAACGTCGAAACTTCTGGTACGGTCAGTATTTATTATCAAATGAGAGGAATTAAATTTAGCTATATCATTCGAAAGGTACTATACCAGAAACGCGCCTATTAGCTGCTCCTTTGTTAAGAATTCGCGAACCTTCATGCGAGTAGGAAGATAAATAGAAGTCACAGAGAGTAGGGTCAGTGCTATAGGGAGGATGCTCCATCACCTTAATGTCTTCCGCTGTCAAATATTCTGTGGTATTGTCCGTTTTGTGATTATAAGTGCGTTGTCGTGAAGCAGGAACCAGGAACTGAGTCTCGAGTTTGATCTGTGATTCGACAAGTCTTGAAACAACTGATCCAGGAAGGCTTTAGTGTACCATAAACTTCTAACAGTCTTCTGTCCAGCGAGCATAGCAGATTTCATCATTATCATCATCATCAAATGCCCATTTCTTGTTTTTTTTTTTTTGTATTGGAAGGTAATACATCACAATCCATCAAGTTTCGTTGTCCTTATATTTGCAATTAGCATTTTTTGACATGAATTTTCACCAATCGACCCAAACCATTTACTTGTAAATACTCAGTCACAATTTTGTGTAACGTAGCTCCAGGAATATTCAAAAACTCCTGTCGCTGAGTTATATGCCTCCCTTTTATTATTACTTTGTCCCGGCTGTCGACCTTTTCTAACACGGCAATTTCGAAGGGTCTACCTAGCCGAGGATCATTGTCCAGTCCAAATTTCAAGTATGAGCAGCCAGTTTGTGACACCATTTCCAAAATTAGCTCTACAAAGGTTACTTCAAACCTTTTAGCTTCGGGGAACTACAGCACCACTTTCTTCAGTGATACTTTCATCAGTAAAAATGAAGAAACAAGCCTTTATCTATTATGGATTCATTTCGTTGTTCGTATATGTCAACTCACTGACTGAACTCCGAAATATATCTCTTCTCCTTCATCTACAATCTTGAAACTGACCACAGCATTCGTACACAAAAGGGCAGAAAGTAATTAATTTTTAATTCTATGTGGGATTATCACACAATAAACTTCTTTGACTTTTTCAACAGGTAATAGAGGGTGCCAGGCCCGTAGAGTGACTTTTGTTTGTTGAGGATGCTCAGTATCTAAACATTCAATTCCAAAAAACCTCAAAAAAAAAAACGAACAGGGTCGCCATTGATAATATACCGAAATAGATATTATTAGTCTAAACTAATGTTCCATTTCGGTTATACATGACATTTGGAATTCCTTGAGTCTTAAAAGTGTTCAACAACAGAAAAGAACGAAAAGTACAACTGGCTTAATAATGAAATTAGATTGCCCGAGATAAAAATGTTCAGTCTCTCAGTCTCTGAAAGCGAGACTAAAGTCTCCGCCTCTCATCGAGTCTCTCTGGTGTCGCTGAGAGAGACTGTCAAAAAAACTGTTTAGCGTCTCTGAACGAGAAACTCGAGTCTCTCAGTAAGCGGTGTCTAGATAGACAACGTTAAAATTTTAATGTTCAACATGGTTCAGAGATCTCAGTCTTTCTACGAGAGACTCGAGACTCTCAATTTTTCAGTTTTATTAATTTAGTCTCTCTGTGAGAGGCTCGAATATCTGAATTAACAATTTTATTGTTGAAGTCTCTCATACAGAAACTGTGAGAGATCCATAAAAACACCTAGGCAATAACTGAGAGACTGTGAGAGACGGACTTAGAAACGCTGAAAGACTCTGAGAGACTGGAGAGAGACTGAAAAGGTGTTTATCTGTTAAATAATAAAAGAAATATTGGCAATTAATATACTAGTTTGTTCAAAGGAATAGTTTAGCAATATGGTGTTATTCAGACATACTAATAAGTATCAGACATATCCCTAAAAACGCAATGAAAAATCTTTTAAGAGAAGAATAGTTATAAATTTTTAATATCATTGTCATATATCAAATTAAAAGAACTGTATCTACTATTATTATCTTATTATCTACCTGCTTCAGTACTAGGTAATTTTATCAAAACAATTTTACAAATCAAAATTGCAATTATTACGATTAGCTAAATAGGTACGTATTATTGGATTACCTAGGTATCTAGTAAATCACAAATCTGATCACTATCTACGTAACTGTTAATATTTCCGTGGTATCTCCCTGATTAACGTAATAATTCCTACGGATAAATACTGTAAGTTTTCCAAACCTCAGAAATTTTTTCGACGATAACGACACAGACATGACTAGATATTTTATTATCAAATACTTTCTCCTCTCCATGTACCTGCTTGAGCATAATGGGTCACAGTTTCTTTACGAATTTCGTAATTTAATAAGAGAAGTTCAAAGAAGCATCAAGAGCCTTTACACTTTTTCAAATAATTGTTTATAAAATATGTATTTAGTCAACATTAAACTTTACCGTGGTTAAAAAACATATTCAATGTGGTCGATACTTCTTCAGTTAATAATTCTTGAGACAGTTAATTATAATAGATACAAAACCCAAAAAAAAGCAGGATTTGATAAATTGCAGGTGCCGGTTTAAGTGGATTACAAATTACAAAAGTAATAAATAAAAATTAATAAAGTGCGTATAGTTATGACTTATGATCATCACTCACCACCAGTCAGCGTCCGTGATTTGGGTGAGCAGCGTCCACAGGGCGACGGCGACAAGGCGCCCCGCGCCGAGACGCTTCATCCCGCGCGGCGAGCTACCCCTTTTCTTATCGCGCCACCGGCCCACGAACTCTCCTGTGGCCTCTTCTTTTGTACCTTATTGTTTTACAAACGCACCACAACACAACAATAGACATACGAGAAGTGAACACCAGTTCTGGCAACTGCACCGCACGTAACCAGATCCGCTCGTGAACTGCCGACCAAAACGACAGGCGCGAATTGCGGGGGCGGAACGGGCTTTGATAAGAATGATTATTGGTTGATCTCGCGACTACCACGCCTTCATCAAAATTTGTCGCTTCCGCGTGCTACAGACGCTTACACGTGCAGCATAATTGCCTAGAGTACATATTGTTGTTATAGTATGCGGTACCTTATCATTATTTGCTATTGTTAAACGGTAACAAAAGCGCATCGGCATTGGTCGATACCTATCTATCTGCCTGATGATGGTTGATATTTATTCTCAGTTAAAGATAAGAGGAGCAACGCTAAACACAGCGAACTGTCAATGCCATAAAACATTTAATAATTTATGCGAGAAACCGGTTGCTTTTATAGAAGGTAAAACCGGTTTACCCAAGAAACTCGCGTAAAAGGTAAAAAAAAAGGGTAAACCAGTTTCTCGTATAAATGGTAAAACCGGTTTACTGGGTAAACTGGACTTATTGGGTAAATCGATTTTGAACTTTATGAAGATGATTAAAACTTTACCTTATTTAGCGTTGGTTTTTTACCAACCGAAGGCAAAAGGTGCGGAGCTAAACATAACAAATCGTCAATGTATCATAAAACTTTTTAGCGAGTAACCGGTATAGAAATGACATCATTTCTATGTTACGTTTACTCTAATACAATGCAAGCCATACACATCGAGAAAGAGAGCTTAAAACTTTCAAAAAATCACAATTTTTAGTTCTCCTGAGCGAGTAACCGGATATTGTAAACCGATTAAAAGCTTGATGAAAATATTCTTATGTTATCTTTATTTAACATTGCACCCCTGTTATAACACCTATAGCGAGAATGATACAGATCGAAGATAAAAAGCCCATTGTTAAGCATAACAGATAGCTTTCAAAGAATCACAAAAATTTTAGTTTTTGTCAGCGATTAACTGGTGAAGAAAACTTGCTGAAATCATTATAATTCTTCTCAGCGAGTAACCGATAAAGTAAACCAATTTAATTCTTAATAGAGATATTTTTATGTTATTTAACATTTTACCTGTTATAATACAGTAAGAGTGATACTGATCAAAGATAAAAGGCGCAACGGCAAAAATAAACATAGCAGACTTTCAAAGAATCATAAAACATTTAGTTTTTCTGAGCGAGCAACCGATGTTGTAAACCGTTTGAAGGTTTCGATATTTTTATGTCCATTTTATTTATCGTTGCACCCGCTGTAATACCTAGAGCAAGAGTGATACAAATCGAAGATACGTAAAAGACGAAACGTTAAACATAATAGAGACTTTTAAAGAGTCACAAAACTTTTAGTTATTCTCAGCGATTAACCGGTATCGCAATCCGGTTGACATCTTGATAGAGATATTTTTAATTTATTTTATTTAGCGTTATACTTGCAATAGTATACTGCGAGTGATACAAACCACAGATAAAAAGCACAGTGTTAAGAATAACAGAGGCATTAAAAAAATAACAAAACTTTTAGTTCTTCTTAGAGATTAACCGGTATCGCAATCCGGTTGATACCCTTCTAGTGATATCTTTCAATTCATTTTATTTAGGGTTATATTGTAATAGTATAGTGCGATTGATACAAACCAAAGAAAAAAATCACAGTGTTAAGAATAATAGAGGCATTCGGAAAATCACAAAACTTTTAATTCTTTTCAGCGAGTAACCGATATAGTAAACCGATGTAATTCATCATAGAGCTATTTTTACGTTATTTAGCGTTTTACTGTTATAATACAGTGAGAGTGATATTGATCAAAGAAAAAAGACGCAACGTTAAGCATAAGCATAACAGACTTTGAAAGAATCATAAAATATTTAGATCTTCTGAGCGAGTTATAAACCGTTTTGAAGCTTGATGGAGATATTTTTATATCTATTTTATTTAACGTTGCATCTGATGTAATACCTAGAATAAGAGTGATACAAATCGAATGTAAAAGACGGAATTTAAAACATAATAGAGACTTTTAAAGAATCACAAAATTTTAGTTCTTCTCAGCGATAACCGGTATCGTAATCCGGTTGATATCCTGATAGAAATATCTTTAAATTCATTTTATTTAAAGTTGTACTTCCAATAGTATACTGCGAGTGATACAAACCAAAGATAAAAAGCAGTGTTAAGGATAATAAAGGCATTCAAAAAATCACAAAACTTTCAGTTCTTTTCAGCGAGTAAACGATATAGTAAACCGATGTAATTCTTAGTAGAGATATTTTTCTGTTATTTAGCGTTTTACCTGTTGTAATACAGTGAGAGTGATCAAAGATAAAAGGCGCAACGTTAAGCATAAGCATAACAGACTTTGAAAGAATCATAAAACATTTAGTTCTTCTGAGCGAGTTGTAAACCGTTTCAAGCTTGATGGAGATATTTTATGTAAATTTTGTTTATCTTTGCATCTGCTGTAATACCTAGAGTGAGAATGATACAAATCTAAGATAAAAGATGGAACATTAAACATAATAGAAACTTTTAAAAAATCACAAAACTTTCACCTGAAAGTACTAAATTTTGAAAAACGGGACCATAGAGAATTCGTTGCAGAAACTACAGGGTTTTTACTGCAATAAGAGATATCACGTTAAATCTGTGCGATTTACAATATTTTTTATGCGAGTTGTTATATTATTGAAGGGTCAATTCCTTTTACTATTATTTTGAATGATACCTCCACGAATACAATTTGGATTAGGAAAATATCAGTTTTCCTCTTCCTTTCTCCAAAAACTGTTTCTGAGCTCGTCCTACCAATTATTCAAATATTAACATATTGAGGTTTAATCCTTTAATCTCCAAAATCATAACAATGATAGTTTATAATTCTAGAAAATAAAAAATTTTGTGCTTCAACTGATTTTCAATCCATCGAAATATGTAATTATTTATACGTATGTGTATATTACCTTTTTCTTCTTTACCTTTATTTGTGTAATTCAATTAAAACAAGACGGAAACAATGAAATTTGGTCACTATTGTTTACATCTCGTAAATATCATAGTCTACTTTTATTTTCATATTTATTTTAAACCAGTAATCACTAATTTACATGCGCACAGACACCTACTTAAAATGGTTTAAGGACCGGCGACACGTTTAGGAATCGCAGGTAACAAAATCCTAGCTTTCAGTGTCAGGGTGTTCCATGGAAACTCGTCGGCATTTTGTGTGTAATTTCGTCATATTACAAAAGGCCTATAAAGCTCATCCTAACGCCTTAAAATACAAGCCGCCTTTGGATCATCCGGCACGCACTGGCGGTACTTTTGATCAGAATTGTTTGAATATTTGGAAACGCTCTGTTTGTCCTACTTTGACCTCGTGTTTACATATTCGCTACGCTTTATGGTGTTGTTTGAGGTTTGATTCTTCTAGATAATAGGATGAACACAAAAAAAACAGTTTGTTTCATTTACTTTTTCTTTTAGGTATTATGGTATAACGTCGAAAGGGTCTTCCAGCAGTACAAAATTCTTTAAAGTGGGCCGCTGATGGGACATACGCATAAAACTGTGAAAATAGTTATATGTGATCTGTTTAAACGGAAGGATTCTTGTAGCATTGAACTCCTTGTGAAATTTTGTCTTATAATGTGCAAATCCAAGCATAGTTAGAACCGGAAACGCGTGTTACTGAATCCGCGCTCGTCTTAAAGACTCTACCGTTCTCTCCACGGAATTTCATCAGAGAAAAGACAATAAACTCTTTATTTTAATCTTTAATAGGCAAACTACTTTATCTGTTTTCCTCCCATTTGTATATTTATTGCACCGAAAACCAGAATGTGCCTAATTTTTTAGATGTTATTTTTGAAGTGAAAACTTCTTTAGGGACGTTGGGCACTTTTTGGTAAGGGAAAATGTTATAGATTCGCGTCACCGACATGCTTGTTAGCAGTATATCTGTAGCTATACAGCTACGACGATCGATGCGGTTTTTACGCGATACTGAAATATATTTGAATCAAACGTTTTCATTTCTTACTTTAGTTACCATAAGCCTATTGTATCTTTTTTAGAACACAATGAAATAATTGAAAGTACAAAAAGTCTAAGTATTGTTGAAATTAATGATGACAATGATGCAAACAATGTTAAAAATCAAGTACATTGAAATTTATGTAAATATTTGAATAATAAAAAACCATATAAACATGCATATGATTGATAACAAAATTGATAATTTTTATTCAAACACAGTGAAATTTCAAATTTTAATACTAAAAGTTCTAAGTTTTCACTTCTATCGGCAGTCCCTATAACTGCCAATTTTTTTCTTACCATATGCTATAGATCTTTTCTACGATTTCATGTCATTTGCTATTCTTATCATATTACGCTACTTAATAGTTTGTTGTATCACATAAGTATGTCACAACGTAATAGCTAATTTGTCAATACGAAACCTTGCTTTGTACCGAAAAATCTTTCAGTTCTGCTACCAAGATAGATCCTACAAGAATCGGTAACTTCTTCCCGCAGGATAGTCGCCAGTTCCATTCGCCCTGCGCGAAGCTCCTTCCAGTAATACAAACGAATAGACATTCTATCAACTAGAAAAGAAATTACAACAAATATTTTTTTTTTGTTACAATTTTCATTAATGGTGTAATAACTCAGAAAAAGATGTTTATAAAAAGATTCAAATGGCAAAAAGCTTTTAAGGATTGTAACCTCATATTAACACACAATAACATCCAACGTTAAAGTTACATACTTTTTTTAATGAACTACCATATCTAATGATTTGTAGGCATGCAAATTAGGTTTTCATTAAGAAATACAATAAATTCGTTTTATTGCAACATCTAGAACCGATACCTACAATAATAAATTTGAAATGGCTAGTTTAGGTACCATTTAGCTAACAACATGTTAGTCATGACTTTGTGAGAAAGCAGGTTCTGTTTTTCCTGGCAGGTCATTACCACTTTCAAGAAAGTTTAAATTTGGGAAAGCCAAATATAAAGACTAAGACACTACCTGTACCTGCCATTGTATTATTTTCAACCCTTGCTTAGTTGTTTAATTTTGAGTATTAGAAATCACTACCCCAATGGTGTAATAGGAATTTCCATTCATCTAGGTGCATGAAGTATACCAGAATAAATATTTATTACTAGTTCGACCCGTTCAATACTAATAATCAAGGCAACCCCCCTAAGGTTTTGATCAAATAATAGTCTAAACGCAAAACGTTTTTAAAGATCAAATATAGCGAATATATAGACATTTAAACCAGGGCCGTCTTTAACCTGTTGGAGGCCCTGGGCACATAAGCCTACCGGACCCCCTACAGCTTTGACAGAGAATTATTTTGTTGTGAATGAATAGACAATTGTAATATGACTCGAAAAAGTAACTCTAATATCATTCTCAGGTTGGTACTTAAAATTGTGTTTTTTGAAAAGGCACCCTTCTAGTTTTCAGATATGCAAAATCGTCAACCAGTTGTTCAAACTCTTTCTCTTTGAGCATATCCCATTCTATGGACTGATCAATCTTTCTGGAAGCATTGTTCGTCTTAACTTATTTTTTATTCTTTTCCGTTTAAAGAAGGAGCACTCGCCACTACAATTAGTTACCATCATGTTTAAAAAGATTCTCAATGCAATTTCTACATTTGGAAATGTGTCTCCAACTCGGTTTTTTATCAAAACTTCTGGAATACCATTAGTTTGCCAAATACAGACATTCTATTTCTAACTCTTTCTCGTTAACATCTTCATACCAGCAATTCTTTGCAACAGTGTCTCGGGATTTGGAGTTTTCAAGCGAAAACCAATGTCTACAATAACCAATGTCCTTGTACAAACTCAATCGCTGTTTTAGATGCACGCTTGGGATATCACTTATGGGAAGTAAGGTATTTCTACTTTAATATCTCTTCCCAACTCAGTTGGACTATCGGTGCAGAGTCATCAAAAAATGTCTGGCGCCAACTTCTAAGTCTTATTCTTTGAGACAAGTCCTTATAGTCAGATTCTGTATTTTGCTCTTTGGAGAGGGATTCGAAGTAATAAAATTTCAAAATATACAAATGTTTGAAGAATCACCTACATTTAGGTATGCTCGCGTTTATAGCATGCAAAAGCGATTATGCAAGTAAATATTCTAACAGCAATTATTGATTAATTGTCTTAAAATAATTATCGGCTTTTGGTTGGCGGATGGATCTGGCAGGAACTATATAGGGGGCCTCCGTTGATCGTGGGGCCCTGGGCACTTGCCCAGAGTGCCCAATGGAAAAGAAGGGCCTGATTTAAACACGTCCATTCTTTGCTATTATTTGTTGATTCCACCTCGAATACGTCAAAATCAGGATAAAAGTTCTGATTAAACAAAAATATCCTGGATATCGATAGTAGATTGTTAAGAGAATAAGGATGGGAGTCATCCTTTAACTAAATGTTTCAATAAGTCAACTATTTCCAAAATATTGTATTATGAGAGGAGATAGCCACAGCGATTATGTTCATTTTGCCTATTTTTATTCGTTAATATTTTTAAACCGCTAAATAGTCTAGTCTTTAAAACGTTAAGTCGATCGGATTTATAACCTTTACGCTTTTTTGTTGTTTATAAAATTTTTCAACAGGAAAATGCAATTTTCAGTTGTAACGGGCAAATACATGTGTTACACGTAACTGAACAATTTTGGTGGTACGTACATTACACAATGAATGCACCACCCGGGGTGAACCACAATATTTACCCCCTTCCCTCTCGTACTTATTAAAGGCTCTTTCATTATTTCTTATAATCAGTTTTGATTTAGTTTGGCTCATGGTAACAGTTGTGAAATTCTTGTTGAATATTAACGAAAAATTATTGTTTCTTAAAGTGTATAACTATGTGAAAATGTTAAAGGGTTTTATTTTTATTGTGGTTTTTTGTGCTGTACAAGGTTACAAGATACCCAGAAGGTTACAGCAAGGTAAATTAATGAATATATTTGTATTTACAAACAAATAAATAAGTTAGTATACAATCAATAAATAATGAGAAATGTAATAAATGGAATGTTATTATTTTATTTGTCCGATTTTACATTTCCTTTTGTAAAAGGTCAGCTCTTTTTCAATCAAATTATTCTTTTCAATTCTTGTTTTTTTTTATACTAATACATGAATAAAAAAATCACATTTTGGTCATTGAAGTTTCGAATAATTTTTTTTGCATTTGATTTCATAATCCTACAAAATTAACGCAGAAATTAATTTTACTATTGATTAACGCATTTCTTATTGAAGGATAAAATTTTGTTGAAAGGATATCATCTCCTACTAGTTTTGAGTTACCCAATACACTTATGTGATTTGCGTGCTGTCTAATATGAAGTCCTTTTGTTTTAGAAAATTCATGTGGACCGCCGAAAGGAGAGCTTTGCGTTGAAATTCGAAAATGTCCCTTTTTTGCTGAACTTCTGGACAAAACCCCAATCCCTAGACCAAGACGTGTGATCGATATAATTCGTGCACACCACTGTGGTTTTCACGGGAACTCCCCGAAAGTTTGCTGTTCTACTTTGATGCCGCAAAATTTAAAAACACCCCAGAAATCTGAGAATCAAGTTCCAGACGTTTCCAATCACCCCAATCTGAGGTTACTACCCACTGAGAACTGTGGAACTATAATTAATGATTTTAGGATCACCAGTGGTGCAAAAACTGGAGTCAAAGAGTTTCCTTGGATGGCCCTACTTGCGTATTTAACGAGTAATTGTTTTTTATTTATTTTTTATAGGTTTACTCAAAACAATAATAACACATAGTGGTGTTTGAAACAAAAAAAAGAATCAATATCTCAGAATTAAAAAGGTTTCGGTTTTTGATTATTAAATTCTTTTTAGTTAAATTCCCATATAATTTTATTAGATATACAGGGTGTATGAGACTTGCCACATTACCCCATTATAGAATGCTTGTGACTGAATTGTAAAGTGTTGGAGCCTTGACTGGAAGTATCGTAAATTAAAAAGTTGAAAATATGACAATGTGATTGGCTAAAAGAGATCATATTCTTCATATATCTCTCGGTTCCAGAAGGGTTGTCCGGGTAATCTGAGACACTCTGCATATTTTTATATAACTTTTTTGTGTTATCAACTTATGAAGATAGTTGCCTTTTCTATTTATTTAATCTTTTTTTTTTATTTTAGAAGCCGGCATTGAATTTCGATGTGGAGGATCTTTAATAAACGACGAATATATTTTGACTGCAGCACATTGTGTTGAAAGCCAAGAACTGTAAGTATATATTATTTTATTATTTACATGTAATATTCTTTAGACTTAAAATGTAGAGATAATACACCAAGAAATCAAGGGTTCAAGGAAAGCTAGGAAAAAGGCTTTATGCAAATAATACAGCAAGTTAAAATGTAACAAGTTTCAGCTAATATCAATTGAGAATTATTTAAAACCTCGAAATGATGTTTTCATAACAATTTCACGCTTACGATTCCTTTTCACGATTAGTTGCATAAACAAATATTATCGCCATTTGCATCACAGAAATTGTTACAGATTACATATTAATCATATTGTCTGTTTTTGGTTGTATGCCAATAACATTATTATTTAGTATTTCTGTTGTTCATGTACGTATTATATTAACTCATTTTCGCCTCAAATATACATATGCATTTCGATATTTCTCGTAATTATAAACAAAAATTTTAGGATTGGTGTTAGACTGGGTGAACACGATATTCAAACGGATAAAGACTGCGATATTCACGGAGAGTATTGCGCTCCTCCAGTACAGGACTTTTACATTGAAGATGTGATCGTCCATCCTGATTACAAAACGTCCAGTTTTTCTAATGACATAGCGATTATAAAATTAGCTACAAAAGTAAATCTTACGTACGGTATGTGAAATATACTTTTCGATTTATCCATTTTTTGCATCTTTATTATTTTTAGACAATGTAAAGCCAATTTGTTTACCGATTGGAGATTTAAGTGATCTCGATTTAGATGGGAAATTTGCTGTAATAGCAGGATGGGGTGTAACAGAAACTGGTAAGTATCTACATATTTAATTTCATAACTATTTTTTTTAAATGTTTATGTTTTTAAATACTTATTATCAGACTGCGTAACAGCAAAGCAGGGACTTAACGTTGCAATCTACGCCCATTTCAGTTATGTATTTCTAGTAACATTAGGGGTTGACTTTTATTATATTAAAACGAACCCCCAAAAAAGCAATTCATAAATACTCAATTTCAAAAATTTGACGCGTAAACTTTCACGGTGGCCAAAATAAGTTTGAGCTTGAAAGCAGGGCAGGGTGTTGTAAGATGCCATGTATTTTGACGAAAATGGGTTTTTGCGAAGACGGAGGGAATGATTCATAATTTCGGGTCCAACTTTCAAATTAGATACGCGAAATTTCCCTTTTTACGCAGGAAGTAGGTAGTTTTTTTTAATTGTTTTAAATTTAATTAGCTTATTACTTTATAGGGTACAAGAGTCCTGTCCTGTTAAAAACGTCAGTCCCTGTAGTACCGAATGACGAGTGTTCAAGGATATACGAAGGATATCAGACCTCGATTGACTTTAAACAACTTTGTGCAGGGGGGTACTTAGGTAGAGATTCTTGTGCTGGTGACAGTGGTGGTCCATTAAAATACGTTACGTCACTAGCAGGAACACCGAAATATGTTCAGTATGGGATTGTATCGTTTGGACCAAAATATTGTGGTATTGGAACTCAGCCGGGTGTTTATACCAGAATTTCATATTTCTTAAAATGGATCCTTGATAATTTAAAACCACCCGAAAAACAATCTTAAATGAACTTTGGGTTAGTACATAAGTAAGTAAATTATTATAGCATTTTTTTGCTGCTGTAAGTAGTATATCATGTTTAATTGTTAGCTACGATTTTTTTAATTATATTTAATTATTTATATCTTCGTGTCGATGTTATAATTATTACAAAAAATATTCATGTGTGTTCTTATTAACCGTACTGTGATGATAAACATAGATAACTTATGTTAGTACACTACCGGTTTTTTGATTAATTTAAATTAATTATTTTGGTGTATCTAATTAATTGTAAATATTTAAGAATATGATATATGTATTTATAATAATATAATGTAACGAAATATAAATAAATTTAAAATGAAATCTTTTAATTTAATTTAAGTTTCTTTTCAAGCACAGTGCTTTACAATTTTTGAAAATATTAAATGTCAAGAAGTTAATTAATTAAATTAAGACATTTATTTTTAAATTTCGACGAAATAACGAAAAGTTCAATATTGTCTGATTGAATGTCTTTATTATTTTGAAAAATTTTCAATACATTTAAGCTGTGTTATTTGGCATTTTTGCAATCGGCATATTAATTATGTTTTGTTGTTAAGATTATAAAAACACTAAATTTATGTGTTACCTTCCAGAAACATTTCTTTCATTCTTATTAATATTTGTAATTTGTTTAATAATCTGTTGTATTTATAGGCAAATTAAACTAAAGTACGCATCCCTGTAAACAACTTACAGGAAAACTCTTATTATTGTCTATGCATTATTATTATTATCTACCTTTATAATATACCATTCCCAAGAATTCTTATTCGTTTTAATGACCCCTTTGAGTATATCATCCCCCCTATAAACAGTATTTACCTTAATTGTCTGTTTAAACTTACCTTTATAAGCTTAGATATTTCTAGATTGTAAAACTATTTCGAGGTGGCTTCAGATCAAGAGTTCTTCAGTGACAATGTGGTTTCTTATAAAATTTATATCTGTTTTTACAACACTTAGTTATATTCAAACAATTATTATCATCGGTGCTGGACAAGGTGAGTCTTCAGTTATTTTTTTTATAATAGGCTTTTATCTTTTATCCTTTTGCTGATAAATATCCAGTGAGATAGTTTGTATCAAAATTTATCTTTTGTTTCAGTCGAAGTTTGTACGCGTCAGTCTTCTTCTTGTATTTCCATCAAGGATTGCAAACACTTCATGAGCTTTTTAGAACACACCGAAAAACCATTGAAAAGTCCGATCGTAAGTTTTTTGAGGTCTCACCAGTGCGGTTTTCAAGGTGGTTACCCGAAAGTTTGCTGTAAAGACCTTCCCGAAAATTTTACTATTTCTGTGCAACGAAATATTTCGACTGTAACCGGCAATATCGAAACACCGTGCGATGATAAAAAACAAATTAATATTAAGGTTGAAAATATTGACGAAAAACGAAAAATTTTGGATGACTTCTTTTCAAATTCTGACGATGATTTCGATCTGTTAACGGAATTTGACTTTTTAAGAAGGAAAAGACACTACGTGACTGAAATTGAAATTAGGTAAAATTGTAATATTAATTTTAATTTGTATTTTAACTTTTATGTATTTAACAACAGTATTTATTTATTGCATGTTTATAGAATGTACCTGATATATATCGTTTCCAATGTTAGAAATATAAATGTAACATATCTTAATAAATGCATTAGATTCTGTGATTTATTTATTTATAAATAAGGTATGTCTATATCTGTTATACCAGTGCTTTTTCTAAAAATTGATATTTAATATTTATATATATTTTATCAACTTCCAAAAAAAAGAAAATTGTAGGAATTAAATTAGTATACTAAAAGTGACTCTATCCCTATTTTGGTGAGGTTTCTTCCATTTTTGGAACTACTGCTTGTTTGTTACGAAATAATTCGACAAAGAATTACAAGTACCATGGGCGCACCCAGCTCTTGGGCCAGGGGGGCAAATTATATTTATTCTATCAATAATATAATTGAAAATATTGTGCATTTAATTACATTATGAACTGATGCTGTCCTGTTTCGGGTCTGAAGAGCATCGTTGAAGTGCTTCCTAACGTTTCGCTGGTACAAGTGGCCAGCTTCTTCAGAGATCCTTCCATCCAACATCTAATTAATATAATATTGAAATCTCAAGTTTTTGGTAGCTTAGACATGGTTTGTTCAAATAAAAAAATTGTTCCAAATTTAACAAACATGTAAAATTGGGCCATGAGAATTAGAATGTACATATAGCTTGTAGTTTTTGTTTTATTTATACATTTAAAAGCAAAAATTGAAAAATCATAAATATATGACAATCTGTCTTATTACTCGAACAAAGAAGTTCATGGTGATCGGCATTATTTTATCACTCCTGGTCGATTTAATCCCTTGGCCAAGACAGTCGTGTTCTAGCAGTTGGTACAAAGCAGGTATTGCAGTAGAACCTTGATAACTTAAACCTCGATAACGTAATAACCTTTATAAATTTATAAAATTTTGTGTTCCCTTCCCCTCGAAGTCCAAAACCTCTATTACTTAAAATAAAAACCCTCTATTACTTAAAATAAAAACCCTCTATAACTTAAACGAATAATTTGGGCAT